ATGTGGAAAGTCTTCTTGGGGCCTGGGATGGGGGTGAGGGAGGAGGTATGGGGGCAGGTGTAGCACTTCCTGCGGTTGCAGGGAAAAGTGCCGGGTGTGGTGGAGCTGGAGGGGAGTGTGGAGCGGACAAGGGAGTCACGGAGAGGCTGTATTCACCAGTTGCTCCAAGACATGGGCCGTGTGTCAGAGAGGAAGGTGCAGGGCCATCTCCACAATCGTAAGAGATCTTGCTTAGTTTGTCTCAAACGGAGTTGGCTTTGGGGGGAGTGGTTGAATGGGAGTCTGGAATTGGGGTTGTGCGAGGTAGGTGGAACCCTGGAACGGGATTGATGATTGGGTGGGGCTGTGATCTCAGTTCCTGGGGATTGAGGGGTCACTCAGCTGTGAAGATTAGAAAGTTGTAGTTGGGACCCTGGTTCTGCTACAAGGGATTCAGTTTGGTGCTGCTTGATATCCGGTATTGGATTTCAATGGTCAGCCCTGATGTCTACTTGGTTCTTGTATAGTCTGTCCACTTCTTAGGAGGGAAGGAGGAAACTGTAAAATCCTGTGGGCTCTCAAGCTGATTGATATTCAGTGTTAGGAATCTGAAATATAGGTATCAGAGATATGGGAGGGAAATCGAGGAAAACAAAATAAAGAATTGTTAGTGTAGAGGCTAGAATTTCCATTATTCCATTCCATCCCGCCCCACCCCCAGTTACCAGGTTTCAGATGGATGTGTTTTGTCCAATAACACAAGAGTTTCTGATGGATACCCTGGATACAGACAGTGATTCTGACTTATTGGTGAACCAGCCACAATCAGTGACCAACACGGGAGAGAGGTTGGAGACAGAAGCAGGTAATCTCGATCTGTGTAAGAGGGCTCTCATTGGACATGTCCTGGGAGAGTGAGAGAGAGAGAGAATCTGGAAAAGGAACAACAGGACAGTTCAACATAAAGACTGCCCTGTTCCAAATGTGCCCTTACTGGAGAGAGATGGGTCATTGAGGAAAATGTTTCCACAAAATACTGCTTCTATCTTGCTATAACAATCACTTTCTAATTACCTGTGCTTCTTTCATTAGTCGATCGGATTCTGACTGATCCCTTCAGACTAGACGGTGACTCTCAGTCGAACTGGTGGAAAGTGCTGACTGATTCCGACAGTAGCTCAGCAAATAACAGGGAGCAAAGAGATGAATGTAAGTCAGAGCAAAGGGAGCTGAAGTTGGGACTCGGGGATGTGGCTAAGGCATATGTATCAGAGGGGCTGGGTCACCAGTGCAGAAAACCACAGAAGGTTCCATCGCTGATATAATGTCAGATATCTGTAGCACTGCTGGCTATAGACCTAGGAGTACTCCATTGATTCAGCGGCTGTGTTGACAAGCCCTTCTGTCTATCTGGTCTGGTGTAGGTCTACTGTTTGGTCTTTAGTCCCTGTTTGGATTAGACTCCCTCTGCACTCATCCCAGGATCCGGATCAAGCCTGTGTCAGTCAGGATTCCCCGGATTACAGCATGACCTTGTGGTGATGTTCTCCAACATGGTGACAACATAGAACTTCACACCAGTCAGTTACCCCTTCAGGAGGGAATAAGGGCTTTGGAATTTCATGTAGTCTCTCAAACTGAGAATCGGATAACAGGAAAATAAGAGCCAAACCCAGACAAACGAAGAGGAAATGTTTACTCAATACAGAGCACTCTCGAAATGGACAGAATAGAACTCCCAAAATATGGTCACTTGAGACATCTTAAAAACTGGCCTGTTCGAGCCAATTATGTTTTTGATGCCTGTGTGTTTCCTCCAGTAGCAGAGTTATTGGAGAGATAAAGAAACTGTTGTTATCCATAACTACCAACTGTTTCCACAGTAGCCAACCAACAAGTTTATAATTGACCCATGCTTCTTCATTAGCAGATGAGTTTCTGACTGATTCCTTCAGACTAGACAGTGATTCTCAGTGGAACTGGTGGAAAGTGTCGACCGACTCAGAGGACAGCTTGGAAAACAACAATGCTAACCTGGATGAATGTAAATGAGTGGGATTGCTGAAGTTGGGGCTCTGTGATGGGGCTAAGGAGCATACGTAAGAGGGGGCCGGGTCATCAGCGCAGAAAACTCCCTTGGTTCTGATGCTGATGGATACTTATGGCTTGAATGCCAATGTTTGGAGCCTAACTCTAACTCCAACCCCATAGTACAAGGGCTCAATGCATTGAGAATTCCCTGTGTATAGTTCCATGGAGCTTCCTTCCTGCTGGGTCTCTACATCCTGTTGTGATCTGGTGCTGGGTTTCCCTGCCCCTTTGCGACCTGGTGCTGGCTCTCATGACCCTCCCAGTGTTCTGATGATGATCTTCCAGTCCTTGTTGTGTTGCCTCTCCAGCTACCAACAGCAATTATTGCAACTTCTTTGGAAAGTGAGTGGTTCCCAACCTGGAATCAGTTGCTCTGTAGCAGTGGAGTGTCTGAGACAATAGGATCCATAAGGATAGGTCAAGGTAATGGTGGTCTGGTCCACAGTGAATGTCTTGCCACTGTGTTAGTTAATGCTGAGGGAAGTGTTTCCACAAAGTTGTAGGGGCTGTTTAATCTAACAGCTGGAGGTGGATGTTGGGGAGACCCAAGAATTATATACCCGGTCAGTTACCTCTCTCTGAAGAGAAGGTGGGTTCTGAAAACTCCAGTGGATTCTAAACTGAGTGATATCCAGAGTCAGATACCTGAAAATAGATAACCAGGAACTAGGAAGAAAATCAGAATAAAATACAATGCAGCATGTGTCTGCCAGAATAGAGTACACACAATAAATTCCCAATGTACTGGTTTTTGAGAAATATAAAAACTGCCCTGTATGTCCCTCCTTCCACTGTCAATGACCATTTGCACAATGCTCAGCCATAACATTTCTCATTGACATACACTTCTTCCAGGTATAGAAGATCTTCAAACGATTCCCACAACATTGCACATAAAGCCACATGAGCTGACTGAGATGGGGGTAAGAGTGATACAGGAGAACTGTTTGAGTGAAGGTGAGTAATATACAGGGAGGGGTGGGTGGTAGAAGATTTGCTGTCTGGTATTCTGACGTTGGTGTCAGAATTTGGAATGGATTGGGCACCCAGTGCAGGACACTTTTATTTGATTTGTCACTGTCTGATGAAATATCCCATGTCTATGTTTTGGACACGGGTTGATGCCTTGATGCCAGGTCTTGATGGCGTGATGAGTTTCCCTCCTATAATTCTATGGAAGCCTCTGTTATGGTGCCTATCCCCACCACCCCCTCACCTGACACTGGTCTTTCCCCAGTTCTGATCTAATGAAATACCTTTCCATCCCAATGTGACCCAGTGAGAAGCCTTCCAGATCTGGCTGTGTCTTCTCTTCAACCTTTGCAGCTTCTTTGGAGAGAGGTGGGTGATTCCCATTCTGGCTTCAGCCGCAGCAAAGTGGTAGAGTCAAGAGAGCAATAGGAAAGGACAAGTTTACGATCATTCTGGTCCATGATCTGCCTCTTCCCTGGTGTGGGTTGCTGTTGGGATAAATATTCCCACACATTAATGGGGTAGGTTCAATATGACAGCTGAAGGTAAATATTTATGGCCAGCACAGAACTATACACCTGGTCAGCTACTACTCAGCCTACTTTAGGCTCTCTCTAACTGATTTTGGTTTTTCTTGTTCATTAATGGGATGTCAGCTGGAGTGACAAAGCCAGGCTATGTTGCGTGTCCTCAAGACAAAGGAGCAGAAATAGGCCATTTATCCCATCAAGTCGGTCTGTCATTCAATACGATCCTGGCTGATCTGATCATCCCCAACTCCACTTTCCTGCCTTTCCCTATAACTCTGATTCCCTTTTACTGACTTAAAAGTCTGTCTATCTTAACCAGGAATATGTTTATTTACTCAGCCTTTATCACCCTTTGCAGTAAAGAATCCCACAGATTACCATCTAAGAGAAGACATTCATCCTCATCTGTGTTAAATGTGTGACCCCTGATTCTGAAATTATGTCCTCTAGTCCTAGACTCTCCCACAAGAGGAAACCAACCTCTCCACACCTACCCTAATGAGTCTGCTAAAAATTTTGTACGTTACAATAAGGTTGCTTCTCATCTTAAACTCCAATGAGTACAGAACTAATCTACTCAACATTTCATAAGTAGACCCTTCATTCCTGATATCAGCCTAGTAAACCTTGCCTTCAGTGCCTCCAATGCCAGTATATCTTTCTTCCGATAATGGTCCAAACACTGTTCAGTATTCCAGCTACGGTCTGAGTAGTTCCTTGTATATTTCAGAAAAAAACATCCCCATTTTTAAACTCCATTCCCCTTCCATTTGCCTCCCCATTATCCACTGAACTTGGATGCTAGCATTTTGTGGTTCGTGATTCCTAACTGTTGCTCAAATTGGTGGCTTGCTAGACATTTTCAGCAGGCAGTTAAGGCTCATTCACAATATTGTGGGCAGTCTGGAGTTGCACGTAGGCCAGAACTGATGAGGATGACATTTCTTTCTAAAGGATATTAGTAAGTCAGATTTTTATAACAATATCAGTTGTCCTGGTCACCAAAACTGAGATAAACTTTTCATTCCAGATATTACTAACTGAATTCAAATTCCAACTGCTGGCATAGTATAGGTATAAATCACTGGGACTTTAAAGACAAATCAGGAAAAATACAGCAAAGCAAGTGTTTATCAAGAATCAAGGGCATTGTTAAAATACACAGGATAAAATTACCAATACACTGTCATTGGTGAGGCAGAAAAACTGCCTTGTTCTCTGCAACTATCAACTATTGCCTCCTATCCCAGCAACAGCTTTCTAATTGGCATCTGTTTCTTCCCTGAATCTCGGACAGACTCAAGTTGGGGCGAAGACTCAACCGATTCAGATGTCAGCTCAGAAGGCAAGGTGGAACATCTGGATGTACGTAAGTGAGAGAAGAACAGTTATTGCTTGGATGTTGGAAAGGTTCTGAGGGTGGAGACCTAGAGCAGAAAATTCTTGTGTTATTGTGCTGTTTGATAAAGGTAACAGTAATACTATCATACTATCAGTTCATACAATCAGTTCAGTTTCTGGCCAATGCTAAAACCCAGTGTGACATGTGACCTAATGATTCGTGCTAAATGATGAGCAAAAACCCCTGTGGACATAATTGCTAAAGTAGTTGCTGATTTGCATGTTACAACCCAGGGAGGAAGAGAGACAGGCCCCAGCCCAGCTTCATCGAGAGAGAGAGAAAAAGTCGATAACAGTCCAGGTGTTTTTAGTTTAGCAGTCTCCAAAATATTTGGGGCAGAAGGGAGAAGTCCTGAGTTACTGTGGTTGGTTCACTTGCCGAGCTGGTTCGTTGTTCCACAGACATTTCATTACCCTGCTGGGTAACCTCATCAGTGCAGCCTCTGATGAAGCACTGTTGTGTTTTCCTGTCTGGTATTTAAACTCTGGAGTCCATTGGAATTGGTTACCTCATTTCCGGTTTTTCTTCGCAGTGGTGTGAATATATAGGGTTTAATTCTATATGTTTATTGATGGCCTTCTTGGTGGAGAACTAAACCTCTAGAAATTCCCATGCTTGTCTCTGTTTGGCCTGTCCTAGGATCCTGATGTTGTCCCCAATCAAACTGGTGGTTCTCCTTATCCGTGTGAATGGAGTACTGTTCATGTCTTTTTGTTGCTAGTTGGTGTCCAAAAGAACCACCAGTTCGATTGGAACAACATCAGGATCCTAGGACGGACCAAACAGAAACAAGCACGGGAATTCCTACAGGCTTGGTTCTCCACCAAGAAGGCCATCAATAAACATGTAGAATTAGACCCTATATATACACCAGTGCAAAGAAAAACCAGAAATTCCAACGGACCCCAGAGTTTAAATACCAGGCAGGAAAACACAACAGCGCTTCATTGGAGTCTGCACTGATGATGTTACCCAGCAAGGTAATGAAATGTCTGCGAACTAATGCACCAGCTCGGTGAGTGAACCAACCACAACATCCACAACCCAAGCTACAAATCTACTCAAGAACCTTAATCCTGAGTTAAATAGAAGAAAACTCCAGAAGCAGAAGGTCTTTGTAGTGCCAGAAAGGAAGAAATCCTATACTATTGAGATAAGCTTAAAGAAGCCTTGGCTGGTATTAGTAGTGAGCTAAGATAGCAGCTTGTTTAAAGGTCGCTGGGAGAGACATTAATTGAAGAAAATTGCATTGAATGAAGACACAGAACCTTGCCAGAAAGGAAACTGATTGCAGCCATGCCAAATGAACAAGAAACTTTCAGCATGGAAATACAGATGACCCTTCACAGAGGTTTGAGTGTCTACAAGATGTTGGCAGGGGCGTTAACCTTTATTTCTATTTTTAAAGACATTGTTTCAAATACTTCTTGGATAGCTTCGCATACTTTGTCATTCTTTTGTGCAATCTTTGATGTTTGTTTGTTAAAAGTACTTGGCAACCTCTTGAGAATATATTCAGTGACTGACCTGCATGGCAAATGAAAGGTAAACCTATGATCTATCAATCTAGGTCAAACTTTGGGATCTGACTTTTCCAGTATTATCATCAGCCGAGATCATGCTTTCTATTATGAAATTATCTTTGTTGATAGTAATGAACTATCTCTTTAAATATCTGCTGTTGCTTATCTACCCTTTTACATTATAATCTGTTTTCCATATCCACTTTGACATCTGCTTTCAAATCATAGAATCCCTACAGTATGGAAACAGGCCCAATAGGTCCACAATGACCTTCCAAAGAGCATCCCACCCAGATCCATCCACCTGCTCTTTCCCTGTAACCCTGCATTTCCCATGGCTAACACACCTAATCTACACATCCCTGAACACTATGGGCAATTTAGCATGGCCAGTCCACCTAACCTGCACATCTTTGGACTGTGGGAGGAAACCAGAGCAACTGGTAGAAACCCACGCAAACACCGGGAGAAAGTGCAAACTCCACACAGACAGTCGCCCGAAGGTGGAATCAAATCCGGTCCCTGGCGCTGTGGGGCAGCAGTGTAAACCATCAAGCCACCATGGCACCCTTTGTATCTTTGTAATTATCTTTCTATCTTTGTAATGTATCTTCAAGTTTGAGACATCAGTTTTAGCCAAAGTTTCTCATGTTCAAGCTGCGTGTGAAATTCTACTGTGTTGTGAATGTTTATACATGGAGGGGATTTTTGCTAGGATATCATTACCTAATACAGTTGCATTACATTTTACCAGGTTTTAAGACAGTCTGTTCCCTGGTTGGTACCCAGAAGATGGTGTTCTGAGAAGCTGTCCTGAAAACACAGGATGAAATTATCCTCAAAGCTACATTTGAGAAGTCTGATTTATCCGGAGATTAAAATAGACCATGTTTACTCTTGTTTCTTTCTTATAGGTTCCCATTATTTCTTGAAATTAGCTTAAAGCCCAATAAACTGCTCGCATTAGTGACTACTTTCCCTTGGTATTTCCCATTTCCTCCCAAACTTATTATACATCTTCATCTTCCGAGTCATTAACATTTCTCACTTCTATGCCACCCTCATTCTTCGTGAACAATGACTCTGCCTACTTTTCCTTTTTTTTCTTATTCTATTTCTAGTACTGGTCACTTTGCAACCATATCTCTAAAATGTCTACCACGTAATGCCCATTTATTTTTATTTGCAGTATCATTTGGTTAATCTTGTTATGACTGCTGCATGTATTCAGATAAAGAACTGTTGATTTTTTTTTCCCCCATTTCTTTCCTTTCTCTGACCCTACTTATGGGTGTGCTTTTACCTTTGCACCTTCTCTCTTTCTGGCACATGATTATTGTCATCACCCGTATTGCTACCATTGTCTTTTCTCATTAAGTTTTTAAATCTTCCCCAATGTAAGCATCTTCACGCTTAAAATGTAGCTTAGAGCCCTCTCTACAGGCTTCATGAAAAGATTCTTGGGGATCCTGGACCCAATTCAATTCAAATGAAGCCTGTCTCAAAGAAACTTTTTGGAACGCAAGACAGCACATTAAGGGAGAAAGAGCAATGGAGAACCAAGGACTTGAACTCACAGCAAACTGCTATTCACAAATGGCAATAGAAATTCTTGAAATATACATACCATACTTGTCAGTTAAACAGGCACAGTAAAGAATAAATAATGCTCAAATATTCACCTTAATACAATTTCCAATTGTTCTCAAACAAGCTCAATCTTGGTCAAACGTGCCAGTCGAAGCACTGGATAGTAATTCTATATGCACGTACAATTATGTAAATCAGTTACAAAACCTTCTAAGAAAGCTGCTTGATCTGCACAAGTGTGAACTCTGCCTGCTGGAGGCCATTGGTCTGATAATGTCACCCTTGCCACACATACAGGAACCTGTGCCTGGACACAAATTGCAGTCAGGCTTCATTTCTAAAGGGACAAGTAGTATTAAGTCGATTTTGATTTTTTTTCAAAATCTGGACACAAGTTAATTTCTCTTTTGCATGTCATTGATTTTGTAATTATTATTGTGAATCCTAACAGGTTATAAGTGTGCACCTTAACACTGTTTCTGCATCCTATTGATATTGTAAGTAGTGGAATTTAATGTAGTAATTTTAATTTCAGACTTTTCAAAGCAAAAATATCCACATACTTCGTATCCAAGGTATCATGTTGTTCGCCGTTTAACTGTTAACAATAGGTAAGTTGCCTTGGTCAGGAACTGTGTTTACAAACCAGATACAAGAAGAATAATGTTTACTTTATTTGAACAAATTGACCCTGAGATCTAACTCCTCCTTTACTTTCTGTTCACTGATAGTGCACTGGAAACTCTGAGGAGCCATCTGTGTACATACAACCCTCCCAAAAAATATGGAGACTGTCTAAACATCTTGCTGTTTGGTATGGTCGCAGCTGGTAAATCAGCCACTATTAATACATTTCTCTCAGCTCTGGATCCAAGTGGAAGAACGATAAACTGTGTCCCAACTGGAGCCCACCCTGACTCTTTCACAACAAAGGTACCCTCTGTTACCTATTTTTGAAATTAAATCCTTTGAATGTGGGCATTGCTGGCAAGGCTGGTATTTAGTGCCTACCCTTTCTCACCTAGATACACCTGGTGGCAACTAGGCCTCCATAGTTAAGAATCAACATGGAGTCACGTATAGACCAAACCAGGAAAGAATGACAGCTATCCTTCCCTTCGGGCAAATTAACGAACCAATTAGATATTTAAGACAAACCAATAGCTTCATAGTCACTGAGTCTGGCACTTAAAGATTTTTAAAACTGATGTTCCAGTATTAAATTGGTTGTCTTTTATCCTTTGAAATTTTGCATTCTTGTGATTCAGTCCTGATCAGTGCAAAATGAAAATATTTAATGGCATATCTGTTCTCTTTCAACAATATACAAGTTTAATATGACCAAGCAAGTATTTTGTTCAATTTGGAAAGTGTGATTTGAACTCTCGGCTTCTTATTATCAGTCCTGATATGTAGCTTCCATGATCTTGCCCCTAAATTTGACTTTTATATAGATGGTTCTTTTTATTGAAGCAATGCTTTGGGTCAAGTGTTTGATTTTAAATTCTATTCCAATGGTTTGAATACTAATTCAGACACACTCAATGAAGTGTCATCTTTAGGATAACCTGTTAAAACAAACACTGTCTGCCTTCACTGGTCCCACAGCCATTATTTTGAATAGCAGAGGAGGTCTTCCTGATGACTAGGAACAATATTTATCCCACGAACGTGGTGAGAACAGATGATTTGATATTTAACTCATTGCTGTTTGTGGGTGCTTGCTGTTCAGAAATTGGCTCTCACACTTTCTATGTTATAGCAGTGAACAGATTTCAGAACGTTGCTTCATTGACAGTCATGCTGAAGATGACAGGATCCGTATAACCGCAAATCTTTTTAAAAATTATTTAACAGCTCAAGTCCTACAAGTCAAACTCACTGCAGTTTTGGGATACTGTTGGTTGGGATTCATTGAAAGATGTGGACAAGACAAAGAAACTATTAACCATGATCCTGGAAGGAAGGGTGCCACCAGGAACGAATGTGAGTTTACATAACTACTTAACACTTGTAAAACCTTATACAATCTCACTAAATTCAAACACTTCTTTGGAGTGAAGAGGGGCAAGGTCTACATGAAAAAGCTTCCTATGCGTCAGCAGCAGCTAAGCTGGTAGCATTTCCATCTTACAACAACTTGGTTGTGTGCTCAGTTTTCCACTTCAGAGACTACGGCCCATAGTGTCAGAACTGAAAAAGAGCTATTTTTTATTTCTCATAAAATACCAAAGTGATACTTCCATCCTTCCACTTTGTAAACTATGCACACTGTTAGCCTGTGGCATGTAGCACCTTGCATACCTTGAGAATTCTGCAAAGTACCCTCCAGTACATAGGATTCCTCACTTTGTCACTCAAATGAATTTTGCCCATCAGTCGTGTTCACCAGCAGCTTAATTCTAAGCCATGTTCTTTGATGCAGTCAGACCAACAAAGCGTAGGTCCACAAGTTTTTTTTTCTCTCTCTCTCTCTCTCTGGTCATATTCATCCTGAAGGCAGACCTTTCCAGAGTTCCTTCATTGATCGACCAAACAACATGCCTAATTCACTGTGTTGTCATCTGATCCAAGCACTCAGCTCTGTAGCATGTTTATAGACTATTTGGAAGTCTGAACTAATCACACCCCTTTTAGGACTCTGTCCTTTTCAAATCCACTCAAAGCAAAGGCTTTACTTTAGACTTAAAGGAACATTTCACAAAAGAAAGTACGTGCTCAATTGCCCAAAACACGGGGGTCATCATAAAGCCAAGAGTTAATGCTGAACTGACAATATAACCATAGGATCTCAGGTTAGAATATTATGCACAATAATGTGGCAAACACAGCAGTCAGTACGTACACAGCAAATTCCCACAAACAGGAAAGTGATAAGTCAGTAAATTGTTGGTTCGGGATAGACAGTGGACATGACATGACAAGAGAATATCTCTTCTAATCTTTGAAATGGTGGCCATGAGATCTTTTACATCAGACTGAGAGGATAGATGAGGACCATGGTTTAATATCTTATGCAAAAGATGAAACCAAGCCAAGCCAAGCTTGAAAGTAAGAAAATTTTGCATAAATCTAGTGCTGCAATAAACTATTGAAATCAATTAAAGGGGTATATACCTAAGCATCTGAAGAAAATATGAGGAGCTATGCTATATATAAAGATTTGTTTGTTCTAGGATCACTGAAAATAAAACAGGTGAAATTCAAAATACCTTTTTAGACACCATGTTAAAAATGAGTCATAACAGATTTGAATTAAGAAGATTCATTCCAAGAGATCCTTATGTGAAAATATATAACAGTGGAAAACATGTAATTAATGGAAAGATACAAAAGCAAAAGTAACTCACAGCATCAGAGTTGGGGAGGCGGTAATATCACTGGATTAGTAATGCAGAATCCCAGCTAATGTTCTGAGTATATGGAAGATTCAATAAAAATCTGGTATACAAAGCTAGCCAATGGCAATCATGTAAACACTGATTGCCATCTGGTTCACTAATGTTCTTTCGGAAGGAAATCTGCTGACCTTACCTGGTCTGACCTTCATGCGACTGAAAACCCACAATGCGGTAGTCTTTTTATTGTTATTTGTCATTTACATGAATGATCTGGATGTGAATGTACAAGGCATGACTAGTAAGTTTGCGGATGATACAAAATTAGGAGTTATCATTGATAGCGAAGAAGGTTATCAAAAATTGGAGAGATCTTGATCAGATGAGGAATTGGCTGAGGATTGGCAAATGCAATTTAATACAGATAAGTGTGAGGTGTTGCATTTTACAAAGTCAAACCAAGGCAAAACTTGTACAGTAAATGATAAGGTCCTGAGCAATGTTTTAGAATAGAGGGACCTAGGAGTACAAGTACCCAGTTCGTTGAAAGCTGCATCACAGGTTGCCAGAGTGGTGAAGAAGGCATTTAGCATGCTGGCCTTTGTCGGTTGAGGCGTTGAGTGTGGGTTTTGGGACGTTGTTACAGTTGTACAAGTCATTGGTGAGGCCATACTTGGAGTATTGTGTACAGTTCTTTAGTCGCTGTAATATAGCAAAGACATAGTTAAACAGGAAAGTGTGCAAAGAAGATTTACAAGGATGTTGCTAGGACTGGTACATCTGAGTTATAGGGAGAAGTTGGCCAGGATAGGACTTTATTCTGTGCAACGCAGAAGAATGAGGGGTGACCTTATTGAGGTGTATAAAATCATGACAGGCATAGATAGGATGAATGCGTATAGTCTTTTTCCCAGGGATGGGGAATTGAAAACTAAAGGGCATAGGTTTAAGGTGAGAGGGGAAAGATTTAAGAAGGACCTGAGGTGCAACTTCTTCACGCAGAGAATGGTGTGTATATGGAATGGGCTGCCAGAGAAAGTGGTTGAGGCAGGTACAATAGCAACATTTTAAAATTTTTTGGCTAGGAACATGGGTGGGAAGGGTTTAGAGGGATATGGACTAAATGCTGGCAATTGGAACTAGCTGAGTGGGCACCATGGTCAGCATGGACCAGTTTGGGCGAACAGCATGGAAACAGGCTCTATTACTCTATGACTCTTGTCTGCCCTCTTGCCAATTTGGGATGAGCAATAATTGCTGGCCTGGTCAGCAATGCCCATATCCCATGAATGAATTTTAAAACCCAGGAATAGAAAAATCTAGAGAATACTCTGAAAATAACACAGAGGACAGAGTGACTAAAACACAGAATAGTCCAAGAGCAATACACAAGGACAGAGTAATAAAGAACACACTAAGCGAAACACCAAAAAACAGAGTACTGAAATGTAAAGAATTATCTAGATGCACAGAGAAAGCAAACATGGAAAAATAAATAAATTGAGAAGAATATACTGTTCTAATTTCATGGAGATTAAAGGCAACCCTTACAGAATGGGGTCAATCTTGCTCTCAGCAAGATTGGTGAATGAGATGAATGGGCCTTGTCCCATACGAATGGGAACCCCTTCAATAAGTATTTTCCTTAATACACAATAATTATGAATGTTGATGGTAGCTTTCAGTATAACCAGTTTCTTTTTCTCCACCTTAGTTGCAGGATTTCAATCCTCATTCAGATGGTGCTCAGAATCCAGTCATTCCAAAAAATGTAATTCATGGAGTTGCATTCACTTTTAATACTTTCACTATGGAGGACATTAATCTGGATTTGATGAAGCAATTTCAGGATCTACAAACCATTGTATCACAGAAAGGTAGGACCTCTTGCTTTCTGCCAATAAAATTTTGTCGTCATTCTGCTTTACATTTAACATTTCATATTTTCAACTATTGTCTCCAGATATTTACAACATTGTGATCGGGACAAACTTTGATCGATTGAGGATACCAGAGAAAAGCTATAATCGCATTTATGAAAACAGAAAGCTAAAACGGAAGGTATTGGAAGTGTTTTCATTTCTAAAATCAGGCACGCTGATACAGTTTAAGGACATAGAAAATAGCAGCAATGACTGTGAAGGAATAGTTATGTATTTCCTCAACAACATAGTTCCTCGTCAGGCTTCAGGGATTGGAACAGAGAAGACAGAGCATTGGGATTAAGGGGAGTCATTTTCAGGATGGTAACCTGGGACTAGTGGTGTGTCACAAGAATCAGTGCTGGGCCACAATTATTGACAATATATATCAGTGACTTGGATTAGGAAAGTGAATGTCCTATCGCCGAGTTTGAAGATGAGACGAAAATAGGTGGGATGGCACAAAGAGTCCACGGAGAGATGTAGGCATGTTAAGAAAGTGACAAAATCAAATGATTTTACTGAAGGGAAATTGTATCAATAAACTTTTGGGGTTGTAACATCTTTTTCAATCTTTCATGGGATGTGAGCAACAAGGCATGGCCAACATTTTTTGCCGAACCCTAACTGCCCTTGGGAAGGTGGTGGTGAGTTACGACCTTAAACTAGGTCTGCACTCTGTGTGATTACATCGGAAATCCTTTTTGGAAGGGAGTTTCAGGATTTTGAACCAATGGTGAGCTCTCCCTTTGATTCAAAATGACTTAGAGTTATAAAGCCACACACCATAAAGGGAAACAGACCCATTGGTGTAATTCATCCTCACTGACCAGACATTCCAATGTGATGTAGTACCATTGTCCAGCACTTGGCCCATATACCTGTAAACCTTTCCTATTCATATACCCGTCCAGAATGCCTTTTAAATGTTGTAATTGTACCAGCCTCCACCATTTCCTCTGGCAGCTCGTTTTATACATGCACAACATTCTGCATGAAAAAGTTACCCCTCAGGTCCTCCTCAAACCTTCCCCCCACCCACCTTAAACCTATGCCCTCTAGTTTTGGAGTCCCCCACTATAGGAAAAAGTACCTTGGCTATTCACCTTACTCCTGCCGCTCACGATTTTACAAACCTCCATAAGGTCACCCCCTCAGCCTCTGATGCTCCAGGGAAAAAAACACAGCTTATTCAGCCTCTCCCTGTAACTCAAACCCTCCAGTTCTGGTAACATCCTTGAAAATCTTTTCTGTAGCCTCTCAAGTTTAAAAACAGACTTCAATAAGAATTTTTTCACAAACTATGCAACTCCCATACATTTCGTAGCAAATGGAGTCTCTGTTGCAATACAGGAAATACAGGAGCCAGTTTGTACACAGCAAGCTCCCTCAAGCAGCAATAAGGCAATGACCAGATAATCTCAGTAAACGTTGTTAGTGATGTAGAATATAATCATCTTCACTCACTCACTTATAACCACTTTTACTTGTCTCCCTTTCTCTTTTCTTAGTTTGCAATGTTGTCGGATTATACTGGGATGAAAAAACACACCATGTTTGCTGTTTCGAATGAGTTGAAAGGTGATAAGATTGAGAAGACAAAGTGTATTCTTGCTTTGTACATTCTGAAAAATATAGTCAAAAACATAGACCCATCTTCGAAATTTAAAAGGCAAAATACTGCAGAGGCTGGAAATCTGAAATGAAAACAGAAAATGCTGGGAACACTGAGTAAGTCAGGCAGCATCTGTAAAGAAATGTTTCAGGTCCAGGAGGACCATTCTTCAGAACCACTAGTTCCCCTCCTTGACTCAAAACGTTTACTCTGTTTTTCCCTCAACAGATGCTACCAGAGTGTTATGAATCACCAGAATTTCCCATTATTAGTTAGTTTAAAGACGGTTGGTACATAAAGGCCCAATGTATGAGTCGTCTGTACTTGTTCAATAAACATCGACAGTAGCTGCAGTCACAGAATCAATTAACAGAAAAAGATCACTCAGCCCATCTTGTCTGTGTTGACTCATTGAAAGAGCTATTCAATCAGCTCCACTCACAGGCTGCCTTTCCCCATAACTTTGTACATGTTCATTTTTCAAATATCAATTCAATTCCCCTTTTGAACATTCTTCATGAATCTGAGTCCACTGCCCTTCCCTTGCAGGCATTGAATTCCAGATCACAACAATTCATTATGCAAAAAAAAACATTCTCATCTGTTTGGTTGTTACATCTACGTCTGTCTAGATACCAATTATCTTGCCACTGGAAACATTTTCTCCTTATTTCATGCTGCTGAAAAAAAGCATATTTTGATTAACCTTTTGCCTTGCAATTATCAGGACAATTTGTAAGACATATGAATATCATCATATCTTTCATGTAGTAAGTAGATCAAAACAATACACTCTGCTCTCTGTCAAATTTTCCCCTGATTTTATGATTCCTCACATGAGGATCATTGACAGGGCCAGCATTTGTTTCATCCTTTTGTTGCCTTTGTGAAGGTGGTGGTGAGCTGCCTTCTTGAACCACTGTATGTAGACCCACAATGTCCTTTGGGGAGTTGAGGTTGCTCCACATTTTTGACCTGGCAACAGTGAAGGAACACTGATATTTCCAAGTCAAAATGGTACATGAATATGAGTGCAGCCTGGGAGTGTCATCTTATGACTTCACAATTTTGGTAATCTTATGTAATAAATATTTTGTTCTCTATTTTGTTTTCATTCTTTCTTTGTTTTTAAAATTAAAATTTTACACTCCACAACGTCGTGTCAGTTGGATGGAGAAAGCGTGTTTACTGGGAACATCAACTCAATGCTGCAATCTACTCAATGAAGTTTTAGCACAACTGGCAATGGTATTTGTACTTTTTTTTAAATTGCAGTTTGAACGCAAAAGGTCCGATGGCCTTCTGTGCTGCAACTGCTCGATGATTCTACTGGCAGACGCCTGCAAAATAATTTCAGTCAAATTAGTATCATTGTACCTTTTAAGAAGGAATTGTTCTGTCCTGTTTCTCTCGAAGAGTGGTGTTGTAAATTGGGTGCTGAGGTTTCTACTGTGTGGAAAGCAGAGTAAATAGGATTGGGTTTCTTTTAACGTAAACAATAGAAGCATGAGTGGGTGGAGTCAGGCTCAAACAGACCCAGGATTTTGATTTGCTTTTGGTTATTGCAGTTGAAGCTGCTAGATATAATTCTGTCTTTCCCTCTCTCTCTCTCTCTCGTCGCTGCTGCTGCTGCTACAAAACACTTGTTCTCTCACTGCTGCTTGATTCATTTTGTCGATGTTCCTTCTGGACTGGAGAAGATCAGAAATGAGGGAAATCTGTTTTGCTGAATTTGCCTTTGCCAGGAGTGTGTTTATGGGATGCCGATATATTGGAACTGTTGATGGCTAATAGTTAAAGTAATATAATTTTGTTAGCTATTTGATAAAGATAAGGCTGTATTGTTCTTTGTATTTTAATTGTGGTGTAAGAATACATTTTGTTTTGCTTAAAGCCAAGTAGTTTGACCAATCGTTGATTTGCTCACCAAATTCAGATGTTTCATCAGACCAGTTCAGACATTTCATCGCCATGCTAGGTAACATTATCAGTGCAGCCTCCGATGAAATGATGTTCATAGGATCATAGATGCCCTAGAGTGTGGAAACAGGCCATTCGGCCCAACAAGTCCACGCTGCCCCTCCAAAGAGCATCCCACCCAGACCCATTCCCCTAATTTCCCATGTCTAACCTACCTAACCTGGGCACTATGGGCAATTTCGCATGGCCAATCCACCTACCCTACACATTTTTGGACAGTGGGAGGAAACCGGAGCACCCAGAGGAAACCCAGGCAGACATGGGGCGAACATGCAAACTCCACACAGATAGTCGCCTGAGGCTGGAATCGACCCCAGGTCCCTGGCGCTGTGAGGCAGCAGTGCTAATCACTGAGCCACCGTCCCGCCGTATAAATGTTGTTGTTCTACTCCGCTTAGTATTTATATGATCTGGTTTGTTGCAGTGTTTTGTCATTTCTGGTTCTTTTTTGGCAAGGGTTTGTATATGGAATCTAATTCCACATGTTTATTGAGTGCATTATAGGTGGAGAACCAGGCCTCTCGGAATTCCCGAGCGTGTCTATGGTTGAGTTTGACCAATCAAATCACTGGAGATGCTCAGGAAGATTTAAACTAGTAAGGGGGTTGCTGGTGGTACCCAGGGAGATATTGAGGAAAAAGATCAGTCTGAGACTGGTACACTTGGGAAAAGAAGGAAGTCAAACAGTTAGGGCAGGAAGGAACAAAGCCAAGAACGAGACAGGTCTGATAAATGCAGTTTTAATTTAGTTCAATGCAAGAGGCCTAACAGGTAAGGCAGATGAACTCAAAGCAAGTTTGGAAACATGGGACTGTGATGTTATAGTGATAAATGTGACTCAGGAACGGACAGGACTGGCAGCTTAATGTTCCAAGGTATAGATCCTACAGGAAGGATAGAAAGGGGGGCAAGAGAGGAGGGGGAGTGGTGTTTTTGATTAGGGATAACATTATAGCTGTACTTGGGGAGGATATTCCTGGGAATACGTCCAGGGAAGTTATTTAGGTGGAATTGAGGAATAAGAAAGGATGATCACCTTATTTGGATTGTCGTAGAACCTGTCCCCAATAGTTAGTGGGAAACTGAGAAATAAATTTTGTAAGGAGATTTCAGTTATCTGTAAGAATAATGGCATGGTTATGGTGGGGGATTTTAAGTTTCTAAACATAGACTGGGACTATCATTGTGTTAAGGGCTTGAAATGAGAGGAATTTAAGTGTGTACAGGAAAATTTTCTGGTTCAGTATGTGGATGTACCTATTAGGGAAAAGGCAGGGCAGGTACTGAGGTGTTAGTGGGGGAGCACTTCGGGGCCAGTGACCATAATTCTATTAGTTCTAAAATTGTGATGGAAAAAGATAGACCAGATCTAAAAGTTAAAGTTCTAAATTGGAGGGATGCCAATTGTGACGGTATTAGGGAAGAACTTTCAAATGTTGGAGGAGGATGATTATAGGTAAAGGGACAGCTCAAAAATGGGAAGCCTTCGGAAAAATGAGATAATGAGAGTCCAGAGACAGTATGTTCATGTTAGGGTGAAGGACAAAGCTGGTAGGTGTAGGGAATATTGGATGACTAGAGAAATTGAGGCTTTGGTTAAGAATGAGAAGGAAGCATGTGTCAGCTATAGACAGCAGGGATAGATGAATCCCAAGAAGACTATAAGGGCAATAGGAGAGTACTTAAGAGGAAAATCAGGAGGGCAAAAAGGGAACATGAGATGCTTTGGCAAATAGGGTTAAGGAGAATCCACAGGGATTCTACAAATACATTAAGGACAAAGAGTAACTAGGGAGAGAATAGGGTCCCTTAAAGATCAGCAAGACTGCCTACGTGCGGAGCTGCAGGAGATGGGGGAGAGACTAAATGAGTATTTTGCATTAGTGTTTACTGTGGAGAAGGATATAGAAGATAGAGAACATGGGGAAATAAATAGCGACATCTAGAAAAATGTCCACATCACAAAGGAGGTAGTGTTGGATGTCTTAAAATGTATAGAGGCGGATAAATCTCCGGGACGACATCAGGTGTACCCTAGAACTTTCAGGGAAGCTAAGGAAGTGACTGCTGGGCCCCTTGCTGAGATTTTTGTACCATCTATAGCCACAGGTGAGATGCTGGAAGACTGGAGGTTGCCAAAGGTGGTAAGGAAAAGCCAGGGAACTATAGACCGGTGAGCCTGACATCAGTGGTGGATAAGTCCTGAGAGACAGGATTTACATGCTTTTGGAAAGGAAAGGACTGATTAGGGGTAGTCAACATGGCTTTGTGCATGGGAAATCATGTCTCAATAACTTGATTGAGTTTTTTAAAGAAGTAACAAGAGGATTGATGAGAGCTGAGCAGTGTCTGTGATCGATATGGACTTTAGTAAGGCATTTGATAAGGTTCCACATGGTAGACTGGTTAGCAAGGTCAGATCACATGGAATACTGGGAGAACTAGCCATTCGGATGCGGAACTGGCTCGAAGGTAGAAGACAAAGGGTGGTGGTGGAGGGTTGGTTTTCACTGGAAGTCTGTAACCAGCAATGTACCACAAGGATCGGTGCTGGGTCGACAGCTTTTTGTCATTTATATAAATGGTTTGGGTGTGAACTTAGGCGGTATGGTTAGTAAGTTTGCAGATGACACCAATATCGGAGGTGTAGTAGACAGCGAAGAAGGTTACCTCCGAGTACAACGGGATCTTGAGCAGTTGAGCCAATGGTGTGAGGAGTGGCGGATGGAATTTAATTTGGATAAATGTGAGATGCTGCATTTTGGAAAGGCAAATCAGGGCAGGACTTATACACTTAATGATAAGGTCTTGGAGAATGTTGCTGAACAAAGAGACCTTGGAGTGCAGGTTCATGTTTCCTTGAAAGTGGTGTCACCGGTAGACAGGATAGTAAAGAAGGCATTTAGTAAGCTTGTCTTTGTTGGTCAGTGCATTGAGTATAGGTGTTGGGAGGTCATGTTGTGGCTCCACAGGACATTGGTTAGGCCAGTGTTGGAGTGCTACGTGCAATTCTAGCCTCCCTGCCATAGGAAGGATGTTGTGAAACCTGGAAAGGCTCGGAAAAGATTTACAAGTATGTTGCCGGGGTTGGAGGATTTCCGCTATAGGGAGAGGCTGAATAAGTTGGGGTTATTTTCCCTGGAACGTTGAAGGCTGAGGGGTGACCTTATAAAGGTTTATAAAATCATGAGGGACATGGATAGGGCAAATAGACCAGGTTTTTTCCCTGGGGTGAAGGAGTCCAAAACTAGAGGGTATAGTTTTAAGGTGAGAGGGGAAGATTTAAAAGGGATCTAAGGAGCAACTTTTTCATGCAGAAGGTGGTGCGTGCATGAAATGAGCTGCTAGACAAAGTGGTGGAGGCTGGTATGATTACAACATTTAAAGGGCATCATGAATAGGAAGGGTTTAGAGGGATATGGGCCAAATTCTGGCAAATAGGACTAGATTTATTTAGGATATCCAGTCGGCATGAGCAGGTTGGACCAAAGGGTCTGTTTCCATCCTGTATATCTTTGATGTATTCAGAACGTAGTGCCTTACTGCTTGCCTTTGAGTGAGAGAAAAGTTAGGGTCTAGGCTATCTCCTTTATGTTTTGAAGGGGCTTGGTCTGATTCATGACATCGCTAACAGCTTTTCTGTAATTAAAGAATAAAAATTCTGCATTTAAAGACTTGAATAAAATCAGAACTGTTTTTTGTCAATGTGCACTGAATAAGAAAAAACTTCCTTCTGAGTGTTTGAAAATTTTAATTTATCACCTGCTTAATTATTCCAAAGCATAAGAGAATCTTTAAATTACAAAAAGAGTGCAAAGCTATAGTGAAAGTTGTTGCAAGCTGAGAAGGTATTGAATGTGGAGTTACATTTCCTGAAGTATACAACCATCGTCCAAAAGATCTAATTCAATTGCAGCACTTCAGTGGGAACATATGTTTTCTAAGCTGGGAAGCAACTGAGTTATTCAAAAGTGTATGTTACAGTCGAATCTTCTTTACCTTATACAATATGAGTTCTCTGTTGCTGCAGAACCATTCAAAAAGAATGATTTGCTTTATTCTTCGTAAACTAGATAAAACATGTTATCAACAAATTCTTTTTGGTCAGGGTTTAAAGTTTTTG